GATCAGAAGCCAGGAGCCAGGAGCTTCTTCTGGGTCTCCCACGCGGGTGCAGGGGCCCAAGCACTTGGGCTATCTTCTACTGCTTTCTCAGGCCATTAGCAGGGAGCTAGATCAGAAGTGGAGCAGACAGGATGCAGGTGCCACAGGTGGAGGCTTAACCCACTATGTCACAGTGCTGGCCCCTCTAACATCTTTTTACTTAACCCAAGATCACATAATTTTCTACTACTGTTGTAGGAATTTCATAGTTTTAGCTCACACATTTAAATTTATGATCTATTTTGATTGAATTGTTGTATAGACCAATGTAAAGGTCAAGGGTTATGATTTTCATATATAAATCCAATTGTTCCAGCACCAATTTTGAAAAACCACCCCTTCCCTAGGACCCGGAGATTGTTGAAAAAAAGTAATTTACCACATCCATGAATATGACAGTCTATTTTTGGACTTTTCTGCACCAGTAATCCATGCATCTATCTCTATACCAATGCTGTACTGTGTTAATCACTATAGCTTTATATGAAGTACAAAATCAGTAAGGGTGAGTTCCTCAACTTTCTTCTTTTTCACATTGTTTTGACTATACTAAATCATTGGCATTTTCATACAAATTCCAGGATTGGCTTGTGAAGTTTCTACCACTCCAAAAAAAAGTACCTGTTAATTTTGATAAAAAAAATATGCTGATTCAGCAATTTAATTTGGGTGTTCTAATCCATGAAGATGGTATATATTATATTAATTTAATTTATATTTCTTTCAACATGATTTTATAGTTTTCAGTATATCTTTTTACAGTTCTTAAGTTAAATTTATCCTATTTTTGTTTTTAAAGATTATTTTATTTATTTGAAAGGCAGAGTTACACAGGGAGGTGAAGACAGAGAGAGAGACACACACACAGAGACAGAGACAGAGAGTGAGAAAGAGAGATCTTCTAACCACTGGTTCACTACCCAAATGGCTGCAATGGCTAGGGCTGGCCAGACTGAAGCCAGGAACCAGGAAGTTCTCCCATGTTGGTGTACTTGGGCCATCTGCTGCTTCCCCAGGTCATTAGCAGGGAGCTGGATCAAAAGGGGAACAGCTGGGATTTGAACAGTACCCAAATAGGATGCCAGCATTGAAGGCAGCAGCTTTACCTGCTATGCCACAATGCCAGCCCCCAGGTTAAATTTATTCTTAAGAATTTTAATCTCTTTGATGTTGTTATACAAGGAATTTGTAAAATTTCATTTTCAGGTTGTATGTTACAAGTGTACAGAAATTTAACTGACTTTTGTACATTGATCTTATATCCTGCAATGCTATTGAACTCTTTAATGTTCTAGTAGTTTTTCTGTAGATTTCTCAGGCAAAACTTTCTACCCACAATAATCACAATGTCTGTGAATAAAAACAATTATATTTCTTCCTTTCTCATGCCTATGGTCATTGACTTTTGTATCTGAATTGCCAGCGAACTCCTCTTTGCACTGTACAGTGAGGCCCTTGTACCTTTTTGATGAATGCTGAAGCCAGACTTCTGTATGACCTTCTCCCTGATAAAAATGACTGTTTTTAGCTAGTGCATAATGTCACTGTCTATCAGCCCAAAACTGTTTTAACAGCATTGCCATCTTTATTTACATAATAATATTTGGACAATTATTTCAAAAGTCTCAATTGCATTTTGTACTCACCATTTAGGGGAAAGTAGGGGAACAGAAAATGGGAAAAGGAAAGTGTTTTATTAAGTATGAGTCTCATAAACTTAATAACAATTGAAACAAGATGAAAATCATTAGGCATGCTTAACGTGGCAATTCGTTAGCCTCAATTAGGTGCTCATTGGATTGAATAAGCTGGTCAATCATGAGAAAGAGAAAAATTAAAAAACACAATATGGCATAGTGAAAACACTCATATAATATCAAAGGCTGCCTCTAAACTGCAAAGTGTAGCTAGTGATTTTAAAATATATTTTAGGCCTTTGGAAACAGAACTGCCTTTATGATAGGCACAACTACTGTTATATTTGGGTACAACCTAACTCACAATTCTTCTGAGGAAAACAGCTGAGTCTCAGAGTCGGGGAAATACATGGACTTCATGTAACCTCACACAGCTTCTGAGAAAGATATAATGATACCCACTTAAAAATCAGAAAACAGACCAAGAAATTTAAGTAATTTGCCAAAGCACATACAGGAAACAGTGAGGACCAGATTAAAACCCAGGTCTTCTGGGTTCCAAAAGATGTAAACTGCACCCCTAGATTCCTGAGCAGCCCATTTCCCGGACCCATACCCCAAAGCCTCAACAGATCACCCACTGCTCACGAAGGCTCTGGTTCCATGTCTGCTACGGTTTCTAACTTTGTCTGCATTTCCCTAGTGACTCACAAGCTACTGTGCAACAACAGAAGGGAGAACATATCTTCCTGATTTGCTAGGTCCCAAAACAACAGCCTAAAAATGTAAACACTACAATGAAAAGGTTTGAGGTGGTTACATAAATAGGACATGGTGAATAAATGCAGAAAGCTTGATTGGCAATAGATGAGTGATCTTCCCTTAAGTCTGGGGGAGACACGTCCAGGAAGTAGAAAGAACATTAAAATTTCCTAAGGAAGTAATTCAGGTGTTTCTTCTTTGTTTCCACTTTTTGGGTAGACACTTCGAAAACTGAGTGCAGAGGCCAGTGCTGTGGAGCAGCGGGTTAACGCCTTGACTCGAAGTGCTGGCATCCCATATGGACTCTGGTTCAAGACCCAGCTGCTCCACTTCCGATCCAGCTCTCTGCTATGGCCTGGGATAGCAGTAGAAGATGGCCCAAGTCTCTGGGCCTCTTCACCCGCGTGGGAGACCCAGAGGAAGCTCCTGGCTCCTGGCTTCAGATTGGCTTCAGATCGGCTTAGCTCTGGCCATTGCAGCCAATTGGGGAGTGAACCAACAGATGGAAGACCTCTCTCTCTCTGCCTCTCCTTTCTCTGTGCAACTCTGACTTTCAAGTAAAATAAATAAATCATTGGGGCAAAAAAAAAAAAAGAGAGAGAGAGAGAGAGAGAGAGAGAGAGAGAAAGAAAGAAAGAAAGAAAGAAAGAAAGAAAGAGAGAAAGAAAACTGAGTGCATTCCAAAGCAGAGAGGTTACCACAGAACCACTGCATGGTGGGCAGGTAACAGGCTCTAATCTTAGGCACAGGTGATTCAGACAGGCCAGATAAGAAGAGGCCTGCTTCCATGATGAGGATACAGCACAAGAAAAAGGAAGCAAGGTCGGAAGTGCAGCTCATTATGCCTTAAGTGAACAGTCAGTAGACACTTTGGACTTGTCGGTTAATTAGACAGCATTTCAATAGGCTCTTTTCATTAAACAAATACTAATAATACTAATTATGGCTCTTCCTGTACTCTGGGCAATACGCAAAAACCAGAAATAACTATCTCAGTTCATCATGTGCCAAATACGTCCTGTGTGGAGTGAGAAAGGTATCCGGCATGATTATTACCTTCTGATGGACAAATCTTCGGGAGAGACTTTTCTTTACAAACTTGTGCGTTTGGTATCTTCTACTAACCTGTTCTTTGTCAATTCTCCTTCCCAAATAAGACATTTACAAGGATACTTCAAAAAATTTGCAGAAAACAGAATTAAAACTCAAGTTTACCTTGGTTCAAAAAATTTTGAAATCCACGTATATGAGGGATCTTTAAAACTTTATACAAAATATGCATTATGAACAGCTATGTATGGATTTTTCAAAAAGATTTACTTATTGATTTGATTTGAAAGGCAGAGAAACAGAGAGCAGGAGAGACAGAGTGAAAGATCTTCCACTGCTGGTGTACTTCCCAAATGCCCACCGCAGCAAGAACTAGGCTAGGAATCCCATCCTGGCCTCCTACATGGATGGAAGGGGCCTAAGCATTTGGGTCATCTTTTGCTGCCTTACCAGGCACATTAGCAGGAAACTGGATCAGAATTGGAGCAGCCAGGACTCAAACTGGCACTCCAGCACAGGATGCCAGTATTGCCAGCATAGGCCTAACCCATTGCACCACGCAAGTTGGGGAGTAAACCAGCGGATGGATGCACCTGCTGGTTCACTGCTGGGGCCAGCAGTGTGTTAAAGCCCCCGCTGCTCCACTTCCGATCCAGCTCCCTGCTAACATGCCTAGGAAAGAAGCAGATGATGGCCCATGAAGCTCCTGGCTTCAGATCAACTTAGCTCTGGCCATTGCAGCCATCTGGAGAGAACTAGTGGATGGAAGACTTCTCTCTCCCTCTGTAACTCTATCTTTCAAAGAAATAAAATAAATCTTAAAAAAAAACAAAACCCCAAACTTTAAAAAAAAAACTTGTGCCAAAATAAATACATCTTTCAATTCCATTTTTTCTGTGAAATTTTTGAAATTTTCATCAAATAGATGAAATAGAATAGAGGTCAGCAACTATAAACATATACACTATTGCCTATTTTGGGGGAAGAAAGTTTTATTGGACAAATTCACATCCATTCATTTACATATTGTCTGTGACTACTTTCTTGCTATAATGGCAGAATTAAGTTCTTACTACTGAAACATTGTACGCCTTCTAAAGCTGAAAATATTTCCTACCTGGCCTTTTAGAGCAAGTTTGCCAACTCTGGTGACAAAATACTTGAAATAATATAGAAAATACTCCAACTAGAATGTTAAAAAAAAACCCCAAGATAATCACAGTTATGTAAAATAAATCTAAGTGGGCATAGAAAAAAGACCAAGAATGTAAGCAGCTGGATTTGGGTGATGGGTGTTGTGAGTGATCTACCTTCTCCTACCTGTATTTGTAATTTCTTGGAAGGACATTTTTACATTTCTTTTATAACAGAAAAAAACTACACTTCACTTGACCTTTGTGCGTGTCTGTGTCTTGCACATAGTGGGCGTGACTCAATTCAGCTCTGTTTCCCAGTTCGGCCCCTCCCCACAGGTGTGCTCAGGGTGGGAGGCAGGAAGTCCTGGGCAAGTACCTTATGCTCATCCCGAAGGTGGGTGTCCAGTTCCTCCGTGTGCTTGGTCTCATAGTAGCAGAGCTGGCATTTGTACGGTTTCAGTTCATTGTGCTTTTCTATGTGTTGCTGGAGGCTCTCGTCACTGGAGCAGGTGAAGGTACATTTATCACAGCGGAAAACGACTCCCTGCAAGTATTTTGACAGTTTGGAACGGCACACTTCAATGGGGACAACTCGCTCTTCTGTGGAAACAAATTGAATGGAAAGATGGGAATTTTTACTGACAGCAAGTAGATGTTCTTTCTTTGGAGTATAAGAAACTCACCCATTCGAATCTGCTACCTCTCCTGGGTCTGGGTTGGTGAATTGCACACACATGCACACTGCCCCTTCCCCAGCCCCCAGAACAACATCTTCCTCTGGCACAAGTTGGGAGTTAAGACCAAAAGCTCTTTCGTACTTAATACCCAGAGCAACCTCCAAACAGAGGAGGGGAGGGCTGCGAGGTACTTGCTAACTCTGGACTGAGGTGATTAGGGCAGGCGGGGAGAGGGGGAGTGGAAGTGTCACCATCTTTACCAAGGTTCATGGTTATCGACAACAATCATTAGCCCGTGTGCCTTCCACACATTATTGGGGCTGGATTTATAGGTATCTGTAAGGCGGAAGGAAACTTACATTAAATGGCCACCAATGTGCCATTACTGTACTGGCACCCTGCTTCTCCTAACACCTCTATGAGGATACAGTTAACTTGCAATTTCACGTATCCTTAAAATGAGGGGCGGGTCTTTAAGTAACTCTCCAAATGCCACAGGCATTGTCAATGGCAAGGGTGAGATGCGAAACCAGGTCTGCTCTGCTGCAGATCCATCATTTTCCATTCTGCTTCCCCTTCTAAGATGTTCCCAACAAGCCTCTTCCACTTGTCCTGAAACCAAGGAGACCTCTAATGTAATATCAAACCTGAACACGAAGATACCTATACACTTTCCCTCACTAAAACTCCCACGTCCAGCTATGAAGAGCTCACAGATGTGATGGCTGCAGGCAACTTTCAGGAGGTGGTGGGGGTCATAGAGAAGATGTGGAGGATTTGTGCCTTTTCAGACAATCTGCATTCTGATTGTGAGAAGGGAAAAAATAAGAGAGAGAGAGAGAGAGAGAGAGGATTTGGGTGCTTTTCCCGCTAACAAACCAAATGCTGTAGGGCTGAAAGTGTATGTGCTTGTTTATTCTGCACTCTCTCACCCTTGTGTTTAACTGCTCAAATTAAATTTCACACCAGTCTGCCCAGAGTATCAGCGCACGCGCCAGATATCCATAACTGGGATAAAATTAAAATCTGTGCTATTTATGCAAGAATCAAATATAGCATGTGTTCTCATGCTGTGTCTGGATTTCAGAAGACTCTGGAAGTTTACAAGTGGACACATGCAACATACACTTATATTATTTAGAAACAGCAAATGTATTATTAAGGCAGGAAAGCATGATTTATTCCGAGTCACTGAGTGACAATGTTTCCAGAGCATCAGAATTTTGTGCCGATGCCAGTCACAGGAGTCTCCCTTTCATCACTGGCCTGTGTGTGGCTCCTGGGGAACGTTCCCTACCCAATGTCATGCCTTAATCTCCACTGTAACATTCTAACTGCAGGCAGGCACTGCCTTGGGAGTCCTTGAACGCAGCGATTAATTGGCCAGCAAAACGCTGGGCAGAGGAAGCGTGGAAGGTGGTGTCTGCAACATACTCCCTGGAGCTTTAATGCATATGTTATTTTCCCTATACAAAGAGTCAGTCGCTTATTTAGAAATATAAATATTTTTAAACCAAAGTATAGCAGACAGCTCAGAAACACATGATTATAATGTAATCCACACATTTTCTTAGAATAGCAAATGTTTAACAGTCTTGTAACCATTCAGTTCCATGGTTTGGTATAAACCGAGGAAAAACTGCTTTGGTGTAAACTAGTGAGGCTCAGGAAGCTCAGATGAGGATATTCTAACTCCTCTACCCCGGGGTTTCTCAACGGTAGCAAGACTAACGTTCTGTGGCTGGAGAATTCTTTGTGCTGGGGGACTCTCCTGTGCCTTGCAGGATGTTAATCAGTGTCTGTGGCTTCCACCTATTGGGTGCCAGTCCCACTCTTCTTTTCCAGTTGTGACAACCCAAAATGTCTGCAGAGAAATGTAATCTGGGAGGCAAGATCAGCTCCAGGTGAGAATCACACTCTAAGCCAAGTGCCAGGCATTAAGTGCAACCACCCTGGGTAAGGCACTCCTGGGCAAAGACTCATGAGCAAGCTGGTGCCCACAGCAACAGGGTGAGCGGACCCCATTCTGGGGTATGGAGTTTGCTGCAAGGGCTGGCACGAACCTTACTAGCTCCTTCCTCGAGGCCACATTCCCCTGGCTCTTTCTATGTCTGTTCTTGCCTTTTATCTTGTCATCTTTACCACTTCCACTTAGTTCTTTGGCTCTGACCCTCCCCTATCTACCCTGACCCAGCTGATCTCAGCAGAGATAAAGACAAGCAGGGTGTAACTTCCCAACTAAAGATGCTCCCAACACCTTTCAGTTATTCAGCCACTTCCCACACTAAATAACCAGTCCTTTCCAACTTTTTTATACGTCTCCTTTTCAATTCCTCTCCCACCTTGGTTAGTTTTCTTTGCAATTTCGAGTTTTACTCTGTGTACTGAAGTGAATTTGACAGTCATGAATGCTCTGAATACTAGATGTGAATATAATATGTGAATATTATATATGAATAATATGTGAACTCTGAAGTTCACATATTAACAATAAATGTAAATGACACTTCAGCTGATTATGTTAAGCGCTGTTAGGTGTTCTGCCTTCATTGTGATGTTTTATTCTCCTGGAACACCCTGCAAAGCCAGTTTTATGTTCTTCGGTTTACTGATGTGGCAACTGAGAACTGATCAATGAAGCCACTTCCACAAAACATAGTTTTTGTTCAGTACAAAGTTGTAACCTCGGAACACAAGTCTGCTGGCTGCAGTCAGTGCCCTCAGCTACCACAGCTGGTAAGAGTTCCCTGTCTCCAGCAACACCCAGTCTGTGTCCTTTAAAACATAAAGAAGCTATAGATGTCTAAGTTAACCGGTAATACCTGAATATCTTTCAAGCATCTTCTGGATTTGAGAAGCGGTCACTTCCCTCCTTATAAACTGCAAAATATGAGACTTCCCAAAATATGAGACTTCCAAACTTAGACATTATTCGTGTACCAAGTCTCTTAATTACATGGATTTTTACTAAGACACTAATTGTAGAAAAAAGTCAACCTTTTTTCTTTTCTCAAAACATGGCAAACACAACCAAGATAAAATAAAATAAAACAACAACAACAAGACAGACTCTGAAAGGTGAGCAAATGACTGACAGCACTTGCTGAATGAGACCATTCATTGCTGACGCAAGCGCAGGACATAAACCTAAAGACTGGAATGCTTCCAGGAGGGGACTGGGCCCTGCCTGGACTACAGAAGCTCAGTGCTCACAGCTTTTTTTCTATGGGGGCAGTGACAACCGTGGGTCTTTCTTGACTTCACACCTCTCAAAATTACCTTGGGTAAGAAATCCAGGCCTGAATCACACTCATTGTGACTCAGCTTTCAGCACGGGCTGCAAAATATTATGACTTTCCCAGTTCGACTCTGGGATGGAGGGTGTCTCTCTTCTCCTCCTACTCAGAAGGTGCCTGGGGCTGCACAGGCTGGACCCCAGAGTTACAGCACACTGAAGTCCACGTGTACTCGCACTTAGGAGCAGCCCGAGCTGAGAAGTGCATGTTGTGTCAAGCTCCCGTGGAGCTCAGTGGGAAAATCTGCAAAACTGCAACCACAGAAGCGTTGCTTTGGCTCCAGTCCACGAAAAGCCACATCGTCGTGGAGTCCAGAACAACCGTGAAAATTTCTTCCTGAACAGCAGAACACAACACACCCGGGTTTCCTTCCTAGAATGTGCCACATCTCAATGAAGCAGGAAGAAATGCAAAACACCATTCCAGAGGACTGAGTCCCTCTTTAGGCCAAACTAAGACCCGCCCATTTCTCTCTGGTCTAATAAGTGACAAAGGCTGAATCCTAGAGAAACCCATTAAGAAAATAACATAAAAAAAAAAGATTCTAAAAAGAACCATAAAGAGACAAACATAAGCAAGTAAAACAGCTCTTGGTAAGAAGTTATTAAGTTTCGATGTTAGCAGGTAACTACCCTCAAGCTAGAGAAAGCTGGGAATGCCTGCTTTAATTCCAACAGGCAAAAGTATTGATGGGGTTGAAAGGGAATATACAATTTCACTAAAGTTTAACAAAACAGGAAGGTAGGAAATCTCATTGTAGGTTATTTTCTTCAAAATGATATGGATCAGATAAATAAGGAGAATTGACTTCAACATACAAGTTCGGTTTTTGTCTATCTTTTGGAAAATAAATTTTCTAAATCCATGCCAAGTGGAGACCAGGAGCAGTGAGTGCACAGCTACATAACCACAATGCACATATTTAGCAAAACTGTGTTTACCCCTACAATTCAGCCTGTGCCCACTTTTGCAGGCTCACTATCAGGGTGCAAGGTAGATGTGGGCAAGGTTGTAGCATGAGGCATTGCACACCTAAAGATGACAAACTCCATTGAAATGTGCTCATTTTACTAGTTTATTCCTTCTTTTCCCATTAAAGGTCAAGTTCTTTCAGTATACAAACCCTGCCTGACTCTTCATGGTTGTATCCAAGAGCTTCAAATGATGCTAATCTACATTTGCTGCGTGAATGAAAACCCAGTAGAAGTCCTACCACCGGGGCCGGCGCTGTGGCCTAGCAGGTAAAGCCGCTGCCTGCAGTACTGACATCCCATATGGGTGCCAGTTCTAGTCCCAGCTGCTCCTCTTCTGATACAGCTCTGTGCGGTGGCCTGGGAAAGCAGTAGAAGATGGCACAGGTGCTGGGGCCCCTGCACCCATGTGGAAGACCCAGAAGAAGCTCCTGGCTCTGGTTTTGGTTCGGCAAAGCTCCAGCCGTTGCAGCCATCTGGGGAATGAACCAACGGATGGAAGACCTCTCTTTCTGTCTCTACCTCTCTCTGTAACTCTGCTTTCAAATAAATAAAATAAATCTTAAAAAAAAGTCCTACCACCAGCTTTAATTTTTCCCAAGTTAAATTCATCAAACCATGGCCAATTTCATCTCATCAAATACTGATCTGACCTAATTTCCTAGTTTCTCAAAGAGATGGGTCTAACAATATTTTGCTTTCAAGTTTTCCTCAATTCAAATTCAACAGATGTCTAATCAGTAACCTTATCAAAACTCGTCCTGGCTTCTTATCTGTCTACTGAGTAATGTTCAGACTTCTACATTAGTAACCAAACCCTCAGAATTTGGCCAGAACACACTTTCCTGGTATGCTTCCTATTCTCTCCAGGCACCTAGAATATTCTAATATCATACTGCAAAACATGTCTGGCTTCCACTGACCTCAGTGGCTTATTAAATTGTTTCCCCCATAGAGTGGGTTGCATAGCGTCCCCCAGAAATTTATGTCTACTTGGAATCTAGAATGTGACTTTACTGACATGTTGAGCCTTTGCAGATGTAATTGGTTAAGATGAGATCATACCGGATTAGGCCCTAAATCAAATGACTGGTGTTGTAAGAGGAGAAGACACAGAGACACACGTGGGGAGGAAGGTCATTTGTAGATGGAGGCAGAAAGTAAAGCAGCTACAAGCCAAGGAGGGCCAAGGAACCTTAGGAACTCATCACCAGCCTTGTGGTCATCTTGGTTTCAGACATCTCACCTCCAGAACTCTGAGAGCACATTTCTGTTGTTTAAAGCCAACCAAATGGTGTTGCCATAGCCCTAGGAAACGAATGTACCCCATCTTAGATCTCAGCTTGTTGACATGCGGCTCAGTTTGAAAGCCTTCCTCTCTACCTCCTTGTTCTACCCCATACAGAAATGCACCTGCCATGGTGAATCCTCTAGAAACTCACCATGCACTATCTCTCACACACATCTCCTTCTGGAGGGCAGGGACCTCATCTTGCCCAAAGAACCAAGCGTTGTGTGGCATGGAAGAAGCAAATCATAAAGGTCTGCTGACTGCATGTATGCCCTCGTTTGTCATGGCCAACACACATCTGTGATTAGCTCTCATTCAAATTTCCCCTGAGTGAAATAATGGATTCTTCTCTTTTCTTCCTACTTAAATGTATAACTTTTTTCTGGACAAAAAGCTGTGGCAACTCCATTCTTGCCAGCAGCAGCTCTGTCTCAGGGTCAGTTAAGAGGTTGTTTTTCCTGTCTTTCATTCCAAGTATTTTCATTAATTAAGGCCTCAGAAAGATGCTGTCTGCAGGCCCTAGAGACCCGAGATGTTTATTCACGCAGGGAGGAGGAAGAGCACAGGTGCAGAAGGAGTCACATCTTGTTACTTTAAGATCAACTCTACCCTGTAATTGCAAGGCAGAAACACAACCCTGCCTCTTGACTTGCCAAGACAGCTTCCCACTGAGCTGCCATTTTGAGTTGAGATGGACACCCGTGGCAGGCCAGGCCACAGATGGTAGGCTCACGGTCCTAAAGCACTCTGCACCTGTGGATTGATGGTCTTCATCTCTACCTCTAGCCCTCGGATACTTCCACCCTTGGACCCAGCTGCCACAGTCACTAGAACTCTCAACGGGCAACAGCACCTTCCCAAGGACAGAGTGATGCCTGTGGTTAAAGCCAAGCCTGGGGGTAGGGAAGGGGGAGGCATGTCATACAAATCTGGATCCTGATTCCTGCTGTTTCTGGACCTGTTTGCTCCCTGTGCATCAAGGATAATGGTCGTATTCACTGCACAGGGTTTATGAGAATACTATACCATGATATATTGTAAAGCACCAGAACAGTGCCTGCCACCGAGGAAGCACTCAGTAATTGTAAGAGTTGTGGTTGATATTGGCATCATTATTACTTTTAATCTTCAAATGTTGTATCTTTTCAGACTGGCGCTTTCTGATTTGAAAAGGACAATAGTTAGATACTCAGAAAATTATCCTCCTATGAGGAATGGGACCTTTTTCTCTGCCAAGTGGAATATTTGTAACATCACTTGTGGGCTTACAAAATTATCAACTTAAAAATTAGCCCGCTATAGATTTATTGAATTTGAGCCCCACCTGTGGTTGCCTTAGCAGGACCAGACCAAATGCTTTCATGGGTCTCATATGCCTGCAGGTCAGACGTTCCCCACCCCTGTTACAGAAGAGGCTGTTATGTGACCAGTGGCAGGTGACGTGATGACACATGGGTGGGCTCCAAGGACAGTGGTTGACTAGTAGCTTCACTGCTTATTGGTTTAGTGACTTTAGTTCAGTTATCCCAGACCCCCCCGGTCCTAAGAACTTACTATTATATTTGTGGGGGATACAACATGTGCTATATTATACACTGTTCTCTGCAGGAGAACTCACCGGGTCTCACAAACACCCTAGGTCTAATTTATTCCGGTTTCTTCTCTCCCTGATGGGCAAGAATCTCAGGGCCAGAGTTGCAGCCCACTGCTAACAGGTGTGCAGCACCTCATGGCATCCACTAAGTATTGAAATTCCCAGCTTTTTTCATTGTATGTGAACTTTCCACCGGTTCTGCTTGCTTGCTTGCTTGCTTGCTTGCTTGCTTTCTTTCTTTCTTTCTTTCTTTCTTGACAGAGAGAGTTAGACAGTGAGAGAGAGAGACAGAGAGAAAGGTCTTCCTTCGTTGGTTCACCCCCCAAATGGCCACTATGGCCGGCACTGCACCAATCCAAAGCCAGGAGCCAGGTGCTTCCTCCTGGTCTCCCATGCGGGTGTAGAGGCCCAAGCACCTGGGCCATCCTCCACTGCCTTCCTGGACCACAGCAGAGAGCTGGACTGGAAGAGGAGCAGCCGGGACTAGAACCTGGAACCCATATGGGATGCCAGTGCCACAGGCAGAGGATTAACCTAGTGAGCCACGGCGCCGGCCCCATCGGTTCTGCTTTCTTTTGCAGTCGCATCAATTTCTTCAATTGTCTCAAACCTACCATTCTGTGAAGGTACCTTTAAGATACATTAAATGCTTTGTGAAATGAAAGGCACCACAAATAAATACCCTAACCAAAATAAAAAAGTCCAAAGAAACATTCCAAATTATAACAAAAATGTTGTCTTTCTCAGCCTCAAGTTTCACATATATGAAACAGGAATCTGGGTTATGTGAGGAGGTCGTCAAGAAGTTCATAGAAAATGTGTGGGTCTCAAGAGCTTTTTGGCACCAAAATAAACGTGCCCTTTCATTTCATCCTTTAAAGAACTATTTGCATCCTCTTCGTAGTACTATCCCTCCCAACGCTTTTGGGAGATGAGGTGACTTCTGTGTGCGCGCGCCAAGGATGGCATGCTGTAGAGCAGTGCTCAGGGCCTTGGTGTCTCATCTCCCTGTGCCCCCTCCCCCTTTGTTGAATCCTCAGCTCGGGGAGAAGTCATTGAGCTCATTAGACATCGAAGCTCTGAAGCTGCCAGGCAGCAATAAGGGAAAAGAGAGGCAACCACACAAAGCGAGGACTCACGGCTTCTGTCTGCTCGGCAACAGTGCTACTGATGGCCTCCACCCAAGCTGTGCTGGGGCACAGAGCCACCACGACACATGGGGAACCGGAAGCCAGGTAACTGAGGCAGAACAGTAGATGGGACCGCTTGGGCCAGGAACTCCTGCCTAAATGTTCCTAGCTTGCAGTTGGATGCCCTAGCCAGCAAGGATCTCACATCCCATTAGAGCACGGGGGTGGGGTGTGTGTGTGGGGGGTCAGAGACATCTGATAGTGCTGAGTGCGAGCCTTCTACGGTGCCTGCAGCAGAGATGGGTGAGCGCATCACAAAATGAAATAGCCAAAGGCAGTGCCTGAGGGAAGTGCGGGGCACTCCACAAACACCCCAAACACTCAGTATTTCAGAGTCAAGGACATCTCAGCAGGACAGCAAGTGACATGTTAGAGGCACATGGGGCAACTGATTGCAAAGCTCCCAAAGTGAGAGGCAAAGGAGGACAGGAAGGACGAGGAGGTGAGGAGAGAGATGGGAAGACTGGCAGATGAAGCAGCAGCCGAGACTGGCAAGGCATCTCCCCGTAATCTTTTTCCATCCACCTGTGGCTTGAATCTTTTTGGACAAAGCACGTCTACAGAAACATAATTTTCCTCCCAGTGCAGAGGGAGCCTGTTGTTTAGCAATGTTTTGATTGGCCAAGAGTAGACTCAACTCTGAGAAAAACTGCAGTGAACTTACAAGAAGTAGCCCTGTTTATCAGAGACACTGACATTTACGGAAAACCCACTACGCATCCCTTCTGGAACTGCACTGGAGAGCGGTGATTACATCTCCTAGGTATAATCATCTCCTTTTACACAGAAAGACAACAAACAGAGCAGGTTTCAAAACCTCCATTCAAAGCCAAAGTCCAAGGACCTTCGAATGGAGGCTGAGTTTCCCTCATATGAAGTATAGGGGACTGGAAGTGTTTCAGACTTTGGATCTTTCCAAATTTTGGAATATTCAAACAGAGACGTTGCTGGTTAAGCATCCCCAAGCCAAAAATCTGAAGTCCCAAATGCTCCAAAATCTGAGACCTTTGGGGTCCTAACCTAATGCTCACAAACTTTTTGCATTCAGGATGCTCAGCTTGTACGAGGGTGGACCAGCTACTGTGAAGAATTCTCTCTCCTTTCTGCTCTAGAAATCATCCCTCTGGTCTTCCTCCAAAGAGCTGCTCGCCACCACCCAGCTCTTCACGTTCCACATTTGCCTGCATCCACTTGGCGTGTTTCTCATTCACGTTTTGCTCAAGTGCGTTCTACACGTGGTTGTGGCAGAGGAGCCAGAAAGCGAAAATCCCTCCTGCTGGGAAGCCCTATGGCAGCACGCACAGCGGAATCTGCCACCTTCGCCTCCCGCCAGGTGCAGGAAATCCCAACAGGAGGGTGTTTGCACACTGTTGGCCGGCACTGTGACCTCTTGCCTGGAGATACAGTGAGGAACGAGGGACCAGGCCACCTTAAGAGACATCCACAGGACACCACGCAGCCCAGCTCTCCCCCGTCTCCCAGGAAAACAGGAAGGCTACCTCGGTGCAGCACGATGTGGTCGATCATGTTGCGTTTGTATTTGGTGTGGTAGAGGCAGAGAGGACAGCGAAGGTCTTTGGGGCCCTCCTCAGGAACCGCTGAATGCCCAGCTTCCACGTGCATAGTAAAAGCAGATCTAGGAGAGAGGTTGGGAGATGGGAGATGAGTGTGATATTCAGGACTCCGGCCAGCAAACCCATCAGAGGCGCGCAAGTGTGACTCCCCTGCTCCAGGGGCCTGAAAAACAAAGCTGTGAGTCCCAGCTGTTGCCCGAAGGTTCCTTGACCACTCAGCCATGAGCTGTGTACTGTCGGGATCTGGTAGCTTCTTTCAGGACATGCTGCCACTTGGCTGGGTTCAGGGCTCAGTTTAAGAAAGAGATTCTCTGAACACCTTATTCTTGAAAATTAGAAACAGTTCAAAGCAGGAAAACAAAATCTAGAGGAACTACTTCTCATCAAGCCTGAGGGTCGCAGGGGAGACAGACTATTTTATTTTATTATTTTTTAAAAGATTGATTTATTGGGGCTGGTGCTGTGGCATGTAAACCCACTGCCTGCAGTGCTGGCATCCCATATGGGCGCTGGTTCCAATTCCAATCCAGCTCTCTGCTATGGCTTGAGAAAGCAGTAGAAGATGGCCCAAGTCCATGGTCCCCTGCACCCACGTGGGAGACCTGGAAGAAGCTCCTGGCTCCTGGCTTCAGATTGCCTCAGCTCCAGCCATTGTGGCCATCAGGGGAGTGAACTGGTGGATGAAAGACCTCTCTCTCTCTCTCTCTCTCTCTCTCTGCCTCTGCCTCTCTATAACTCCGTATTTCCAATAAGTAAACAAATCTTAAAAAAAAAAAAAATTGAAATATTTACTTGAAAGACAGAGTTTTACAGAGAGAGAGGGAGGGAGGAAGGGAAAGGGGAAGAGAGAGAGGTGGTTGATCCTCCATCTACTGGTTCTCTCCCCAAGTGTCCACAGTGGTCAGGGTTGGGCTAGGCCAAAGGCAGGAGCCTGGAACTTCATTCGGATCTCCTGTATGGGTACAGGGGCTCAAGCATTTGGACCATCTCCACTGCTTTCCCAGGTGCATTAGCAGAAACCTGGATAGGAAGTGAAGCAGCCGGGACTTGAACTGGTGCTCATTCTGGGATGGTGGAGTCACAGGCGGCAGCTTAACCTATTGCACTGTAACACTAGCACCTAGAAGGACTATTCTAAAGACAAGCTGCCTATCTGAGTCTTCAGAAGGAAGTAGTGGTAAGTTGTTTAGGAGGTCATGATCAGTGATTAGGTAAACAGCACTCCCAGTTGTGCTAGCTCCAACATGGGATGGTATAGTGGCCTCTTCCTCCATCCTTTACACCTTCTCAATTTACAAAGCCTTAAATGGCTCTCATAAAATGGATGAAACCAAGTTTAATGGGCAAGGACCTCTTCTTACCAACCCAAGTACTTCTCTCTGGAGAAACGTGTATTTGTCGGGGGCCCTTGGAATCGGGTCCTTTAGTCTTCTCTCGGTTCTAAGCCACAAACATTCTTATCTGGACAATAACTGGACTGGATAAACAGTCAGAGATATGACACAGTGTCCATCAAATCCTAGCAATTGAGATTTTGGTAGCAGAAAAACTTGTTCTTCTCCCAGTTCATCTTTATCTTTGGACACTGCTATGGTATGGATATTAGAAAGGCCATGGGTTAAATGCTTGTGTCCCAGGGGAGTGCTTTTGGGAGATGGTAGAATTTTAGGAGTGTGGGGGCCTCATGGGGAGTCCTTAGGTCATTGGTGGTGTGTGCTCAGAGGCATTTCTCATGGGGCTCCTTGAGTTCTTGTGAGAGAGTTGGTACAAAAGACTGAGTTTGGGCCCATCCTCTCTTTGCCTGTCTGGAGAAGTGATCACTTCTTCCAACACATGCTCCCACTCTCTGCCACCCTCACTGGAGGTCACCCTAGTGGAGCTGCCTGATCTTGAACCTGAACCTCCAAAACTATGAGCTAAATAAACCCTTTCTCTTCATGAAGCCAGTTGTCTCGGGAATTTTGTGGCAACAGTGAAAGCTGACTGAAGCAGTCACAAGGCCTGACTTCTGCAGCTTCTCTCTGTGGTGAGGTGCCTGAGGACTCAGATCTTGACTGCAACAGGAGTAGAAGGTAGGAGTTTTATAGCCGTCATATAAAAGTAATGCTAGGGGCCGGCGCTGTGGTGCCTCTGCCTACATCCCAAGTGGATGTCGGTTTGAATCCCTGCTGCTCCACCTCTGATTCAGCTCCCTGCTGATGGCCTGGGAAAGCAGTGAAAGTTGGCCCAAATTCTTTAACCCCTGCACCTGTATGGGGGACCCAGAAGAAACTCCTGGCTTTGGATCGGCCCAGCTCTGGCCATTGCAGCCATTTGGGGAGTGAATCAGCAGATGGAATACCTCTCTCTCTCTCTGTATCTCTCCCACCCCCTCTGTAACTGCCTCTCAAATAAATAAATTAATAAATATTTTTTGAAAAAGTGATGCTTTATTACCATAGTAGCTTTTTATCTATAGCATTATAGCACAAATCACTGTGCCACACACTCTTCTAGGCACTGGTTCATTTCCTACTCACAGTGGCCCCTGAGGTAGGGAGAGGACTATTATCGTTATTTTACAGATAGGGACATGGACACACAGAGAGCCCTACTGACTTTCCCAAGGTCACACAGCCAGGAAGTGGCAAAGCCAGACCCCACACTCCACACCTGCAACCATGAACCTAAAGGATCCACGGGATGAGATTCTAAATTGGTTCGGATGACGGCAGAGGGAGCAATCCACTCCTCGAGCTCACCAACTCTGTCAGACAAGAGCAAGGGGCACTCTGGATTCTCCTTTTGTGGTCTGCAGCATTCTTAAGTCTAGTCCTCCCAGGGCGGGGGTCTTGAATGACATCAGGTTAAGAAATAACTTCTCTACAAGGAGAGCAAGAAGTCACTCGACTTTGACTTTGCTTGTACGAACATATTTTTTTTTTTTTCAAGGACAAATAAAAAAGGGATAAGGAGAGTTTGACCAAGAGAAAACATTGCACCGTGTGCTAGGCCAGGGAAATTCTGTGCTGTAGCCTCACCGGGCTCAGGGGCCCATTTGCTCTGCGTTTAAACTCATTTGTTCCCGTAGAGCTCTTCATCCCTGCCAAAGCAATCTTCAGTGTGTGAAGCTCAGAGCAGCTCATAGGCAGGGCCTCTCCGGAGCCCCAGTAGGAAAGTGCAAGGGAGGAGTATGCAGTGAGGGGCGGAGGAGAGGCAGCCACCTTGTTTTTTTACAACCACGCTTCACGCCACTTACTTAAAGCCTGTGTAAAAGGAGCAGTCTTTGCACTTGAAAAGCTTCTTCCCTCCATGCTTGTCCCGGTAATGGCGCCTGATGCTCTGGATGTAGCCAGAGGAGAATTCACAGAATTCGCAGTGAAGAACGGCTTCGGTTTTCTGCTCAGTTCCAGCTGCAGCCCCAGGAAGAGGCACGGGGCTGACGCGGCTGTTGTTCCTTGCCAGGGCAGCTGACTGGTAGTGGTTCAACTGTTGCTGAACGTCTGGGGGCTCCGAGTACGACGAGTCTGTGCAGAGAGGGAGAAAACAACAATGGGGTACAGAGAACCTTGACGTGAGGGTTCTTTTGCCCCTAACTTCATGGAGGTATAGTTGACCAAAATAAAAGGCACAGCAGTGAGGACTTGATATATGCACGTCCTGTGAGAAGATTCTCACAGTCAAGTTCATTCACACATCCATCAGTCACACTGCTACCTTACCACTTTTTAGGTGTGATGTGGACACTTAACTTCTACTCTTTTTGCACATTTCAAGCCTACAGTGTGCTTTACCACACTCACCATGGTGCACAAGGGGTCCCCAGAACCTGCCCATCTGACAACGGAACACTTGCACCCTTTGACCAACATCTCCCCCTTAGTTTCAGATACTTTGCGGGATGATGACTGTGATCCTATCTGTCCTCTTGATTTACCTGCTGCCACCCAGATCTGCGAAATGCACGTGGGAAGTGTCACTTCTTTCCCTGTGACTTTGAAGGCTCATGACACGTAAGCATAAAATTGGGATCTACAGGTTTCAAAGTGAAAGACGAAAATAAATTGTTTTCTACAAGAAATTGCAGCGAGGCCACCAGTTGCCCCAGAACACCTGTTGTCAGGTGAGACAAGCACACCTGCCTAGTACACGCAGCCGTCAACGCGAGACAGGAAGGAGATGATGCGATCTCTCCTCCTTGGCAGCCGAGAATTATTCAAGCCAACCAAATAAAAAAAAAAGTCACTCTTTAACAGAAATGCTCAGGCACATGGCACTCCCACAAATATAAAAATGTTTTATGCTTCCACAGACAAGCGATTTAAAATTTAAAATATAAAAATCCGATAGTGTTCTCCTGGAATAGATGTTTAAAGCTTAGTCAGCATTAAGATGGAGATTTATTCATAAATCCCATTAAAATGAAATCCCAAACAAGTTTCTCTGAAAGGTATTTTAAAGTTTGCAACTCTGAGGAAAATGTCGGGAAATGACAGGCATAAATCTTCACCCCCAAGAAGCTTTGACACCAAGTGGTAGAGAAATCTGATCTAGGTGGGAGGAGGGGAAATCTCAGATTCTTCTTTAAATTTAAGGAGGAAAAAAAAAGCAGGAGTGGGGGGAGAGAGAAAGTGAAAGAAAGGTCTTGAACCTTTTCCCAACAGCCAACACGCTGCTTTGAATGTCAAGGTTAGGAATTCAACAACATTGCCCTCCACAACCTACAGCTGCCTGTGAATGGCACAATGACGTCCACAGCTACCACACAGATGAATTTCAGGGTAACTTGCCTTGAAAAGAAAACAAAGGGCTCTATTCTTTAGCTTTCAAAAAGCAGAGGGAAAGGGGACAGAAACTGTACAAGCCTCCTCCTGATTTGATGGACACTTAATTTTCCAAAGCATGATTCCCCGAGGCGGGACATGGAGGAATTCTGTAAAATCCATCCTGGAAGAAGCAGGACCATCCATCCCGATGGCCTCTTCCCCACGCCAGACAAAAGCAGAGCAGCCTTGGTGGCGGTGGGGCCACCTCCCGAGTCCAAAATATTAACATACCTTCCCTTCAATTCATATTCCTCAAGATGGAGAAAAACCCCCTTGGAAATTGTAAACAAACCTGCTACACATAAAAATAAAACAAAAGGAAACTTGAACAATCTCTGTGAGCCTCCACGGGTTCATTACCAGGTGTAAACTGGAGACAAAGGAAGCAAAGACTGACACAACTGGATTCATTTTACCCAGGTCTTTTATCTGCTTTTTCTTTATTCCTCTACCCTCGCTGATGAACCCACTCAGGATCACAATAATGCAACTGTCAACTGCTCATGCTTGCCTTCAATAGCAGGTTTGTTTACCATTTCATGGATCGTTCGAGATATTTTCTATGTAAGCCCTCAAGACTAGTTGCTGCTTAGAACGTGCACACAATGAAGTACAAAATGCACTCCACCTCTCTTGTTAACAGTCTTGAGCAGCAAGTTGAGCACTGCCAAACAGCATCTCTGGAAGACCGGCCCCTCCGCTATGTTGGTGCTAGGTCCTGTTCTTAGCTCTGCAGAAGAGAAATTCTGTGGCCAAGAAGGCCACAGCCACATCCTGCTGCCCGTGATCTGTCTACCACCTTACAAATCAAACCAGAGACCAAAACAAATACCCCCAGGACTGGGCCTCGCCTCCGCAGGCAGCCGCAGTGCCCTCGAGGTCAGAGTACACATCTCGGTGAGCCCTGACAAGTTAGTGCAGAGGCTGGAGTCGTCTCAGACACCAGCACAGGACAGCTTCAGCTCCTTTGAAGGAATTTCAAGGCCACAAAGGAACGGCTGCCAGGCAGATGATAAGCCAAGAGAATCACCTTCCCATGCCTGCCACCCACCCCCAATTCAATACAAGGCCCGATTGCCTAGGCAGACCCCTGCCAAAGGAAGGGGACTCTCCTTTTAGGTAACACGTGTTTCTTGCATATTATTTCATCCTTCTCAAAAGACAAAGTCTAAATTTTAACTCCAATATTTATATATTATAGGAAACTTCAAGAAAGAAAACGCATTCCAAGAATTTCTTAAATGGCAACGCAAAATGTATCACCATAGGTTTCCATGACACGAACGCCCTTCTCCCTCTTGGTTAAAGGCAGAAGGGCAGGTATATTTGCAAAAAATAAACAAATCCTACCTCTGAGGATATGTATGTAATAATGGGCAGGTTAGAGCTTAGAATTTTACTTCTCTCCTTGGTGCCAATATTCTCAATCTCTCTCTCTCTCTCTCTCAGAGTCTGTGAATAATGTACGATTTTAGCACTTTGGGCACTAAAGTGACAAAGATGTGAGTGTGTCTGATTCCACTGATCTTAAAAAAGCCCACTTGCTACATAAAATTCCAGCTTGTTCATGAAACACAGCCTGAAGAGCAGGGAGAGGGCTGTGTTGTGCCCTGGTTCTATAGAAAGGCAGACAGATTGTTAGCAGTGAAGGGCATGTCACATAAGTTAAAAATCATCATTAAGACTATTTTCCTTCATTCTGAGCTTAAGGAAAAAAAAGCAAAAACACTCCTGTGTTTGGAGATCCAGACTTCTGGTCCTGGGGAACCACAGAAGCTGACGCACATGGATACAAATTCAGAGGGAAATTCTGCACCCCACTATGGGTCACCCGAATTGTATCCTGATTGCCCGTGTGGCCAGTGGTACCTACCACGGAACCAAGAGCAAAGACTAAGACGGTGCATCTTTGAAAACCGGATGTGGCTTAGCAACTAACCAACTTTGGGACCACAGTTCAACTCCCTGACTCATGCCTTAGATGCCAAGTTTTCGAAATTAAATTATAATTTATGATTGGAATTACACAATTAAATCGAGTGAAATCATATGTAGCATTCATTCTATAAATTGCCTATTATAAGAAAAGAATTCTATCTTGTAAAACCAAGGTCAAATTGTAGCATGGCTGGTCATAGTGACTATGTAGGGTGTGCCAATTACTGAGCGGCCAGCAGGTGATTCTCACAGCTGTGGTGTGAGGAATAAAGGGATTCGCTAACCAATTTTACCAATGAGGTGGCTGAAACTGAGGATGGTTGGTCACACAGCTGAGATGCAGAGGCTGGGTTTGAACAAAGACCCATCTGCCTGTGACATCTGAGCCTTCTCAGTAAGGCATCCATACCCAGCGGTGACCTTCAGCGTCCCAGGACACTGTCAGAGGAATGAGAAAGAACAGAGAATTCTTTCAGAAATACACAGACAAGGAGCAGGCTTCCGACACACGGTTAAGATGCCACTTGGGACACATGCACCCCCTGTTGGAGTATCCGGGTACTGGCTCTACTTCTGCTCCACCTTCTGCTAATGTACAACCTGGGAAGATGGCAGGTGCCGGCTCAAGTACTTGGGCTCCTTCTACTTGCATGGGAAACCATGGCTGAGTTCCTGGCTCCTGGCTTCCCCCTGGCCCAGCTCTGGATGTGGTGGGTATTTGGGGAATGAACCAGTAAGTGGAAGATTTCAGAAGTCAGTTTTTCTCTCTCTTTCTCTGACATTCAAATAAAATAAAAATTATTAGGTAAACATGTTTTAAAAAGGAAATAAGCACACAGCAGAGAGGAAAGAGTGGTAGAAAGGCTGAAAGAGTGAAGAAGATAACATTAAAATTGATACAAATGGTAACAGATACAATAGCCAGAAAAACCACCAAAACAAATACAAAAGAAAATGCACTACCATAAGCATTTTGGGGACTGGCATTGTGGCATGGCAGATTAAGTCTCTGCCTGTGAGGCCACATCTCATATGGGTTCCAGTTTGAGTCCCAGCTGCTCTACTTCTGATCCAGCTTCTTGCTGATGCTTCTGGGAAAGCAACAGAGGATCCTTGGGCTCCTGTACTCTTGTGGGAGACCTGGAAGAAGCTCCTGGCTCCTAGCCTTGGCCACATCCTGATGGGCCATTTGGGGAGTAAACCAGCAGATAGACCTTTATCTCTGGCTCTTCCTCTCCTCTCTCCCCTCTCTGTAACTCTGCCTTTCAAATAGATAAATAAATCTTTAAAATAAAAATAATAATAAATAAAATAAGCATTTTGGAGCATGTGGAAACAAATTAATAAGCAAGGTTCATGGGAGAGATAAAAAGTTTCCAAAATTTCAAAGTGTTTCTAGAAACAGAGCAAGCTTCTGCACAGGAGACATTTCTTGGAACGCACTGTGCAGGTAAACAGAACTGGAAGCCTGTTTGCCTAAATGTCATGCTTCATTTAAATGCTTGATAAATCGGGTTCCACTTTTAACTGTAAAATTCCTCCAGTGAGATTTGGCTGGGGAAAGAAAGCGTACAAATGCAAACAGGGGATGGGAGCTTTCAGGTGAACCTTTGAAGAGCTCAGGATTTCAAACCAGGAAAGTGCTGGGTTCCAGGTGAGCCCTCCTAGCCCTCTCACTTTTCCAAGTTCCTGGTGAAATGGGAAGTTTCTTGGCTAATCCCAGCTCCCCACAAAACCAGCCAATGCCAGGTGAGTATCAGTGG